CTTGGAAGAGGTTTGCACTCTCCGAGTGTTTCTAGTTATTATTATTATTATTATTATTATTATTATTATTATTATTATTATTATTTGGTGTATGCCAATAGAAATGGATCATCCTTCATAGTAGGCTATTTATGAAATGACAATGAATGGTTGTGTGTCAGGAAACAAATTTTTGCTGTGTTCCTGAACGCAGCATAACTGACTCTTTCCACAGCTGAGGCACAGGGGACAGGAGCTGCACCTCAGCTCAACTTTTGACAGCTGAGCGTCAAAAAAAGAAAATAAAGCTTTTTCGACAAATAAAAAACTCCAGTTGTCACCTGGGACTTATAGCAGCACATAAAGCTAAGAAACAGCTTCATGCCTAACATAAGGTGCTGACGCAGCAACGTTGATTAATTCATTAAAAAATAGTTTTATTCAGACTTGTCCATGTAAACAACGAACAGGCTGCACGAAAATGACAACAATAACTACCCATGTGGTGGCCACACATGTGCACTTATGGAGTGCGCAGTAATTATCGCGTGGCTACGTGAAACAAATTTTTTATTCCATGTCACCGGAAGGGCTCCGTATATTTTATATGGTGAGGTATGAGGGCCAAAATTAAGACTAGTGTGCAAACAGTGGTTGATACATCCTTGTAGCAGGAGGCTATAGCTATAATCCTAGGTCAGCTATTGATCTGATTAATGATAGGCTGGCACAGCTAACTGAGCAGCTGGCACTGGTAACTGAGCAGCTGGCACTGGTAACTGAGCAGCTGGCACTGGTAACTGAGCAGCTGGCACTGGTAACTGAGCAGCTGGCACTGGTAACAGAGTCCAGTGTTGGCAAATGAGAAGGAGACTATTCATTTCAATAGGTATATTACATTAGGTAACTGGATTGCCAACTCCCTCCATTGGCCATTGGCATGGATAGGTTGGCGTTAACAGGTTAACGTCGTTAGCCTCTCCAATGCATTGCTAGTCGAAATGACTGGTATGGCTAGGCTGGAGTTAGCATCGGAGAGGCTAGTGACTAGCTTGCCTAGGCTACTTTATCAAACACAAACTTTTTTGAATAAAGAAAACTTTGTACAGCGGTGTGTGTTTTTAGCTGGTTCATGAGAAATGTCTGTAGCTTATATGACATTATACATTTTAGTTAAATACAGAGAAGCCTTAATACCCTGTCAAAAACTGTAAAAAGCCCCAACTTGACAGTTCAGGCTTTTCTCGTAATTTTGCTAAAGAAGAGAAAAAAAGACAAAACACTGCCATGGACCAATAGCTGCTAACACTGTGACTGTGTACAGGGCAGGAGTTGGGACTGGAAGCTTGTGAAATGGTTCCTGTAAACTGGGTCCTGCTGACTTCACTTCCCAACAATGAGAGTAGATGGGGACATATGGTCTATAAAATACTCAGTCTATGGATCCACCAAAACTGTAATAATAACAAATTTCCAGCATTGTTCTATGCATTGGTTTGATTCCAATTTGTATGTGGATGAGAAGAGCAAACACTCCAGAAAATGTCCATTTAAAATAAATATTTAGATCATGCAGCAGGGACTAAATATGTCATTTAGGCAAAGACACTTGACACTTAAACCATGTTATTTACACAACAAGACTGACCCCAACAYTTACAAAAAGTAATTGTCCAGAAGTGTCTTTATGACTCGTCACATTCTTGGTAAATGCAGATGTTCTTCTGTTTTTGTATTTCACCAGAAAGTCTAAAGGATCAGCATTCGACTGACAACCATGAACAGAAAACATTGAGTCCAAGACAGAAGAGACAAGAGAATTTTAAAGTGTTTATTTGTACAAAAAAAAGCTAAGAAAATTGCATGAAAAATACTTTGAATAGTTTTGTAACTAAAGCAACTAAAACAGTGCTGTTGCTCTGTGGTGAATGGAAGCTCTCACACAGAGCACGAGTTCATCGAAAGCATAACATCCAAAACATCCAACTCAGGAGAGACATGCACACTCAATGATCTGTGTTTGTCTGCCTCTGCAACACACACACACACACACACACACACACACACACACACACACACACACACACACACACACACGATCTGTGGAGGCAGCATTAGGATGTTCAACCAACCACAAAACACATGCTTTCAGTTAGAAAATCTGTTCAGTTTACAATAAAGGTAACAAAGACAACATTTACATCAACATAATGTTAACAAATCAAATGTGATACAAAGAATTATCATAAAAGATGAACAAGAAAAATTACAACCTGGTACTGGCAGGACTAATTGCACAGGAGACCCAAATCTACAAATACATGCTGGTGAAAACAAACAAACAAACAAACAAACAAACAAACAAACAAACAAACAAACAAACAAACAAACAAACAAACAAACAGTTAATGAATTATTTGAAAACATTTTTATTTGTTCTGCCTGACATGAATCCTTTGTGCAAAGGATTTTTATGGCTTTATCAATGTTTAATACATGAATCATCAGCAAGTGTCAAAGTGAATGTGTAGATGCTCCTTCTCTGGTTACTGAACTAATAAATTAAATTTCTGTGTATTTGACATTTAGGGATTATCTTGACAGATTAGTTATTATGCTGCATTAATGCTTAAAAAAAAATCACATTTGTTTTTGCTGTTTAATTTGACGATTAAGTGACTTAGCAGGAATTATGCCTTTGTGAATAAATTCCTGTTTAGAAAGAATAATATAAATGCGCTCTAAACTGGAAAAGTTTATGCAAAATTGTAGATTTTTGTCCTTTTTAAAGAGCTCATAAAGCTAACTGACACACAAACAAAATGAAAAGTGACTTAATTTTATTCATAAAAAGGAGAATCTCTCATCTCTAAAAGATGCATGTATCATGATCCAAGAAACCAAGTTGTGCTTATGCACAACTTACCTGTTGCCTACCTGCAACTTACATTTACACTGAAGAGTTTGTACATGTACAAAATTACTGGGTGGTAACTTATTTAAAACTTACACCTAACTTATGTGACTTACACCAGAGTGACAATATCAGTTGTCTAAAACACTATAATGTGACAGGGCATTTTCTACTCTAATAACCTTTTTTTTCTCCTTCTTCTTCTTTTCTTGTATTTCAATAAATACCACAACAGAGATTATTTTTAACTCTTATTAATGGGCAGCTGTGACTGCGATGTAGATTACCAACATCATTGTGTGAATGTGTGTATGAATAGGTGAATGTCTGTTATGTAAAGTGCTTTAAAGTCCGTAGAGATTTGATAAAGCACTTTACAAGTTTAGGCCATTTACCATTAACCATTAATGTTTTGTTATTGCTAGTGAAGCCTTGAACTGTCTGCAGAGTGGAACTGTTTGGGGTCATTTTTTCATCTTCTTGGTAAGTGGTTTTAAGTGAAACAAAAAGACAGATTTTTCTCTCACTGTGCCACACCAGACCATTCAAATACAAAATGAAGAAATAAAAAGTGAACTCTAACCAATTAAACGTGTGTCATGTGAACAGGAATTCTTCTTTCCTGTTCACATGACAAACATGAAAACAGAGCCTACAAATAACATTGTACAAAAAGATCTTCATTTAAAAGTAGTTTTTTTATATAAATATAACATTTTCATCCAAACCTTTTAGTTTTAAATTTTTTGGAAAAAAAAATCATTCTTTGGGTTGATCCTTACCAACAACCAGCTGAGATGACACAGAGACACCTGCATAGATTAAGCACAGCTGCTTTCGTCATGAGGTCTAAGACAGACAGACATGAGACGTCAGCACTGAAAATCATTCATGCTCCAACAGCTTGACACACTGCTCGACCAACGCAGTCACAGATATGTCTCCTAAAATGGAAGCCCAACAGCTAGGAAATTAAAGTGCCCATGAAGTACTGAAGCCATGAGAATGGAGGTAGACCTTTACTAGGAGTGAATGTTGAATGTTGACCACTGCACAGGAAGTTTTGTTGAGCTGTTGTACACCAACACACCTTCACCGATATGAAATTCAACTATTATTGATGAGCATTCAACACAGTTCTGTCTCCTTCTCAAGCTTTATGTAAACATTTTGGAAATTTGGTCAACTAGGAAGATGGCTGACATCACAGGGACAAAATATGAGGCAGTGCCTTTTTCTTAACAAAAAATAATATTCATATAATGTGAACAGTATAAAAAATATAACACCTGGACAGACGGCTTTAATGAGTTCAGCCACTCGAAGGTTTACTCATCTATCAGAGATGAACGTGAAGGCCACATAGAGTTCATCCCAACAATGCTCCCACTAAAAAGATTGTCTTTTAGGTTTAGGATTTCTTTACTCTGTTCCAGCTTGGATCATTTTGTACCTGGGTTACCAGGGTTATCAAAAAGACAAACTGGAAAAACTGTTGCAAATCTGCATTTTGAAACACAAGATTTTATTTTAATCAGGAGATGGGGAGTTAAACTGGAGCATCATGGGAAATTATAGGATGTAGCTCTTTGAATTTGGATGTTTGGATCTTTGGATGTATATATCTGGTTTACAGTGTAAAACTGCAAATTCATGCAGTTTTATTTGTGAAACACCTCCTTTACTGTTCATTCAATCCATTATTTGTATTAGTGCAGCTTAACATTGTCTAGTTCATGTCTCCGAACTTTAATATTTGATAGTCCAACATAAGAAAAACTCTTGTTTTTCATCAATGTTTCCTCACACATTGGCTGTCTCCAGGGGCTGGGTCCTTCAAAGGACTCGGCCTACCCGGTCTAGGACCTTGGTAGACTGCAAAGACGAAAAAAGTGGCTGTGAATTTGGACGGTCTACCCTTCCTGCATTATTCCCGCCCTTACCCCGGCGTATCTCCTGTCGCCTAGTGTGATGATGCTAAATAGAATCAAAAATAGATTGAAATTAGCAAAATATCTATATATTAGTATTATAAGTATTCTTAAACAACAAAATTAGCTTAAAGGCAATATTTGAAGAACTAAGGGACCTGCCATATGTGCACGTTTATTTTGCTATACTAGCTTGTTTCTGACAAGAATAATATAAAAAACGTAAAAACCATTAACAACACAACTATACCCCCAGATTTTTATTTAAAGCTGTACTCCTTTCTCTAGTTTCCTCCACCATTACGAGTGGAAAAGAAATCTCCGGTCGGCTTGCAATGCARCATGGGATATAGTGGACCAAGAAGGATCCATTGAACCCGTCCCTCAAATCGGGGCAAAAGGAGGACGCATTTGTCGGTCGCAATCGGAGGAGTCTTTAAATTTGGACAGCCTTCGGCGTGGTGCTGTGACGTAAGAGGTCGACAAATTCAACCTTTGGAGGACCCAGCCTCTGAATTTGGGCACAGCCARTGTTTTGTCATTAAARCAACTTTCTTTTGGTCATAATAATTCAATGTTTGTTCATCATGGTTCTCATTGGTGAAGCTGTTGCCTCATGTTTCCCTGAACAAATGAATAAACCTGACAACAATGGTATGCACTCAGGGGGTCATTAGGGTCCGACTCATGTCCCATCACAGTCTGACTCCCAGTTCTCCCCRGACCATTTCTTGTGATCCTACTTTGTTCCGTCTGTCTTTCCCCAGACTCTTGGGCCTGATAACAGGGATGCACATAGGAACTGTACATTGTGTTCCACCTCTGCAGAGTTGGCAGTGGGCTTTTTAGAGATGGTTGTAGGCACTACAAGGAAACCTCCCGTTAAGAAGGTAAATTTCATAACCCTGTTGTGTTTTATAAGAACAAAAAAGCTTTATGAAAAGTGTTCAAGCCAAAGGTTCTGGGGAAGCCCTGCTCTCTTATTCTTTCATTGTCAGCAGCCTCTAATTCATCAGACAGAAGAAGAGTGATGTGACAGAAATAGTGCAAAATGACCCCTCACCCCCAAACATTAGCGTGTGCCACTGCCTATCTTTGGCTGGACTGCGATGTCCCTTCCTCCCTGTCCCTCACCTGGTTTGTCTCTGTCTGCTGTGCTTATGGCAGTCCAACAGAGCTCAGCTCTTTTTGAAAAAAGAGAAAAGTCTCTTGTCCCGATCAGAGACACGGCGAGCTCGTCTTGGGGACTGACTCCGTGAAGATCCCGACCGGGAGCTGTGGGCCGAACGCCACTCGTCTTGGTGTTTGTCCATCAGCTGCTGGTCAATCACTCTGTGCATATCATCCTAAAGCCAGAGACAGTACAGGAGGATGAGAGAAAGGCCAAAGAGAAGCAGCACACAGAGAGGGCACGATGGGATGGGAAGAAGTAGTGATCAACACAGCAGCTGAACACTTGTTACTACTACTCAGAAATTTACATCATTCATTCATCGTGGGCATGAATGTTGTGTAAATTGTGTATTTTTAATGATTTTTGATCAATTCTTTTTCCAGGGTGAAATGATTGTGGAACATACTATTTAATTTTTCCATAACAAGTTTCGCTTCGACTACAAACTTTTTGTTTCCATCAGCTGTCTGTATATTTGACCAATCGTTTAAATTACTTGGTCATGGTCAAACTTGGTGCATAATTATGACCCCGCACACTTTTTGTAATTACATTTTTTTTTGTTCAAGATATTTGGTCAACCGTAGCWCAGAAACAGCTGCACCGGTCAACATGAAATTTGGCAACACTGTAGATGTGTCCGACCTACACTGCTCCAGCCAACGGTTTTTACAACAAACCCCATATTTGAGGAGGGGGCTCCATCTAAAAACGGGGTTTCTGGACATACAAAAAATGCTTATAATTCAAAAACTATTCAACACAAGTGCTTCAGATTTTTCTTGTTTAGCTCTGATGAGGGGCTATCAATGAGCATCCTCCACCCAAAACAACAAATCTGTTGTGGTGACTTCTGGTGAATTGGTGCTTTGAGTACATGTGGGGTTCATATGCTACTGCTATGCGGTATCTAGTTGTTTTTTTAAATAAAATCTCTAATAAAAGCCTTTTCAGTAACAAAAGTACAACAATGTTCAATCCAAGCATTAGGTGTTCCTGTGTGATATCTGATCACTGGTTCCATCTTCAAAGGAAAGTAAAACAGGAGTGTGTGGAGAGGAGAGAGAGGAAGGCGGAGGTGGATGCTTGATTGGTGGTTAAGAGAATTTGAAATAAAAGTTGAAACTGTGGCACACCTCAGTTCACCTTGGTATGGGACGACTCATTGTGTTAGAGCTGGGTTAGTGCAGGGTGGAATGGAGAGAGATGGCACAACTCGGGGCTCACCTCTAAGGCAGGAGGGTAGGGGGGGCGCCACGGGGGGGAGAAAGAGTGGTACTGAGGCTGAGAGAGGCCACTAGATCAGAAACCACAAGAGCCAAACAGTAAAGAGCCCTGAGGAGGCAAACTGTGGGCAGGAAGAGAAGAGAGGGGAGAGCTGCTTGTTACAGGTGAGGAAGGGGGAGGCTACAGACACACAAAACACTGCCCCAAAACAGTTAAACAGGACATTAGTGTGAATATGCCAACATTCAAAGTTAAACCTTACAAAAAAGAAATAGAAATAGTTCAAATTCTATTGCAGCTGGTGCTAAAGATGTGTTTAAAACAATAAATACAGCCGTTGATGCTGCTTTCACCCTTTGCCCCACCTGCCAAGCCTCCAGCTGCTGTGAAAGGTTGAGCTTCTGCTGGATGGCGTCCAGCAGCTGGCTGTTCAGAGACATGATGTCTATTTTACATTTGGCCAGCTCCATTTCCACAGCTTTCTTCCTGCAACACGCACACACACAAACCTGATTCAGCATGGTGCATACAAAATGCTGTGAGGTTGTTTTAACTAGAAATAAAAAATAAAAGTAATGGGTTAGGGTTAAGTCTGTTATCTTTCAGTGCAGTCTTGCATGTTTTGTGCTCATTCATACTTGGCTATGGCGTCGTCTCTGTCTCTGATAGCACTCTGGAGCTGCTCACTGGGTTCTCGGACTTCAGCCATCGCCCTCATTCGCTCATTCTCATCTTGGAGAGAGCTGATCTCCACGGAGAGCAGTGCCACCTGCAGGCGACACAGCAGGAGGAAGCTGAGAACTTCATGCTTTTGTACTTCAAACTCAGACTCAAGTAAATAGTTTTAACTACTTAACACGAGTAGACTGTCAGGCTTAAAATACCCTAAAATCTATAGTGCCGAGTGTAAAATGAAACGTTAAAAATTTTCACTTTTTGAGTGTTAAAAATTTTCCATTAACATTTTATTGCTATTTATTTCACTT